GCTTCTTTGAACATTTAAAGGTGCTTTGAACATTTAATCCAAGACCAGATGCCCCTCTCCCTCCTCTTTTTTTTTTTTTTCTTCTTCTGTTAGTATTTCACCTCTTTTTTTTCTTCTACATTGAGATCCTTCTAGGAAGTGCTAAATGGTAATACACTAGAAGTTTTTCTTGAAGCAATTAAAAGAGAAGAGTTTGGTATTTCCTGTCATATGATTTTAAGAGGTAGCTTTTGTGTTAAATTAGTGCTTAGCATGTTATTTTTTGCTGTTTTAAAGCAATTTTTTTCCATTGCAAATGTCATAGTAATCTCTGTCATTTCTATTCATGAATAAAAAGCACTTGCACAGTGCTTCTTCATCCATGAGTGCAAGTTTTAGTTAAACCACATGGTGCCCTATGACATTATGCTGACAGGCACAGAATAAATAGCACAGATTTTGTTTCCTGAAGATTGATTATTTATAGATCAGTTGATAATTTTTTTCCAGGTTGCTTCTTACATTGATGATAAGAAATTTTTCACTTCTGTAGAAAGCTATGGATTTTAATAAACCTCTGTCAGGACTGCAGACCTACCTACTCAATATCACTTTTTCATCTTCAACATCTTTTCCAGCAAAGATAGGAAGTGATATTTACCCCTATTCTTAAAAATAACGTTGCTGAAAACTGTAGGAGTGAGGGCAAAGCTTTTGAGGCAATGAGTTTGTGAATGATAACTTGTTAATACAACAATATGTTGGTCTTGCAAATTTTTAAGAAAAACAGGAAACTTTTTTACGCACATTTATTTTGTTTTAAACCATTACATATTCAGTAATTGTATTCACCAGCTTTCATTTTATGTTTAAATATTAGTGCTTCTTTTGTTATCAAGCATCTTAGCTTCCTCTCCCTGCATCCTGTCTGACTTGCCTTGTTTTTGATATGTTTTACAAAATGTAAAGTGTAGTCTGGCTTTCAGAAGGCTGTTGCCAGTCTGTCTGATTTTATTGTTGTTGATAAACTATATTCCCACCATGAGTTAAAGGCTTATGGTGTAAAGTAACAGGGTTTAGTGCTTCTTTACATTCAACTTTTATAGAAAATTAGTTCATGCTTTGGCCACCTGATGTGAGGAACCGACTCATTTGAAAAGTCCCTGATGCTGGGCAAGATTGAAGGTGGGAGGAGAAGGGGACGACAGAGAATGAGATGGTTGGATGGCATCACCGACGCAATGGGCATGAGTTTGAGTAAACTCCAGGAGTTGGTGATGGACAGGGAAGCCTGGTGTGCTGCAGTCCATGGGGTTGCAAAGAGTTTGACATGACTGAGTGACTGAACTGAACTGAATATGCATGAGTGGGTGTAATTTTTACTTTAATGACTCATATTCTACTTTGTAGAAGATAGTTACTTAGTTTGTCCAGAAATAGTTAATTTGAGAACTTCTGTGGGTCTCAGTATTCTATAATTATATAGTTCTTATATTAGTAATGATACATTTGAGAAATAGCCCTGTTCTATTAATATTATTTATTAGTCAGGCTTGATTTACCTGGATTGATATGCTTCCTAAGTTTTATAGTGGGTTCCAAAATGAACATACCATGTGCATGCGTGTGTGTGTGCTAAGTTGCTTCAGTTGTGTCCGACTCTTTGTGACATTACGGACTGTAGCCTGCCAGGCTTCTCTGTCCATGGGATTCTCTAGGCAAGCATACTGAAGTGGGTTGCTATACCCTCTTCCAGGGGATCTTCCCGACTCAGGGATCAAACCCGTGTCTCTTATATCTCCTGCATTGGCAACTGGGTTCTTTACCACTGGCACTATCTGGGAATTATGTGGAATAGTATCTTCTTTTCCATTAGTATAATTTTAAAATATTTGTATTTTTTGTTATAAGGCAGCTTTAGGAGTAGTAAGTTTATTTTCTGTAATGATTGAAAGTGATAGCAGTATGAATGATCCTAAACCAATTATATTAGCTTTAGAATATTTTTTATGGGTATAGTTTTAAAAACAGAGCTTGTTGAAAATTCACCAAGTTTTACTGTGAAGTACTAAGACTGGAGGGTGTGATGAGCAGAGTCTGTCCACATATCTTAGTGCTAGCTCTCAACAAACCCTCAAATTACTTATTGTGTGTTTGATTTCAAGCTTCCATGCTGCAAGTGAAATTAGAAGTACAGAATAGGATGTCATCAAGGAGTTAAGTGGGATGTTATAGGTGTTTTCATGAAATGTGAAAGTAGATTTGAAATGACTACAAGTAATTTGTTAAGTGCATTCTTGAATTATTCTTATAGATAAGAGATGAGTAAAATAGTATGAGAAGAGTCTGTCAATCTAAATGGCAGATTCTCTTTTGGGTGTTGGTTAAAATCAAGCTGGTTTTAGAAAAGGCAGAGGAACCAGAGATCAAATTGCTAACATCCACTGGATCACTGAAAAAGCAAGAGAGTTCCAGAAAAACATCTATTTCTGCTTTATTGACTATGCCAAAGCCTTTGACTATGTGGATCATAACAAACTGTGGAAAATTCTGAAAGAGATGGGAATACCAGACCACCTTACCTGCCTCCTGAGAAATCTGTATGCAGGTCAAGAAGCAGCAGTTAGAACCAGAAATGAAACAACAGATGGTTCCAGATAGGGAAAGGAGTACATCAAGGCTGTATATTGTCACCCTGCTTATTTAACTTATATGCAGAGTACATCATGAGAAACCCTGGACTGAATGAAGCACAAGCTGGAATCAGGATTGCTGTGAGAAATGTCAGTAACCTCAGATACACAGATGAAACCACCCTTATGGCAGAAAATGAAGAAGAACTAAAGAGCCTTTTGATGAATGTGAAAGAGGAGAGTGAAAAAGTTGCCTTAAAGCTCAACATTCAGAAAACTAAGATCATGGCATCCGGTTCCATCACGTCATGGCAAATAGATGGGGAAACAGTGGAAACAGTGACAGACTTTATTTTTTGGGGCTCCAAAATCACTTCATATGGTGATTGCAGCCATGAAATAAAAAGATGCTTACTCCTTGGAATGAAAGTTATGATGAACCTAGACAGCATATTAAAAAGCAGAGACATTACTTTGTCAACAAAGGTCCATCTAGTCAATGCTATGGTTTTTCCAGTAGTCATGTGTGGATGTGAAAGATGAACTATAAAGAAAGCTGAGTGCTGAAGAATTGATGCTTTTGAACTGTGGTGTTGGAGAAGAGTCTTGAGAGTCCCTTGGACTGCAAGGAGATCCAACCAGTCCATCCTAAAGGAGATCAGTCCTTGGTGTTCATTTGAAGGACTGATGCTGAAGCTGAAACTCCAATACTTTGGCCACCTGATGCAAAGAGTTGACTCATTGTAAAGACCCTGATGCTGGGAAAGATTGAAGGCGGGAGGAGAAGGGGACGACAGAGGATGAGATGGTTGGATGACATCACCCACTCAATGGACATGAGTTTGGGTAAACTCCAGGAGTTGTTGATGGACAGGGAGGCCTGACGTGCTGCAGTCCATGGGGTCGCAAAGAGTCGGACCCGACTGAGTGACTGAAGTGAACTGAAATCAGCAACTGAATATTTGTAGTTGATTAAGTTATGTTCACCCTAATGGTTGTATATACAAATGAAGAAAATGGAATTTTTAAAGTAATATTTTTTTCATGCAAATATGTTTTGTTTGATGTTTATTCTTAACTTTTCTAAGAAATGTACTATTGTGTGTTAAGTAAGGAAATGGCATTATGTCTTGGTATATGGCTTAAATTTTTTTATTCTTAATAGCATCCTGCTTCTGATTACGGTTATTAACATTCTGTTTTTTGAAGACTACTCCCCCACACTTGCATAAAATCATACATACAAACATATACAAGCACATATATTCAAAGAAATATGCATATACTTCATATTATATTTTTTTCCCCCACTTTTTAGAAGATTAATTGTTACCATTGTTTTATTTATTGTGCTAGGTTTTCCAGAACGGCACTTATTCTCCTAGGGTAGTTTTACTATAATAGGTGTGAGCTGTTGTCTGTTGGCAAAGTTAGCCTAACTACATACATGTTGTTCTTTAGTTGCTCAGTGAAGGTGAAAATGAAGTCCCTCATTCGTGTCCGACTCTTTGCAACCCCATGGACTGTAGGCTCCTCTGTCCAAGGGATTTTCTAGACAAGAATACTCGAGTAGTTGGCCATATCCTTCTCCAGGGAATCCTCCCAACCCGGGATCGAACCCTGCATTGCCGAGTGGATTCTTTACCACTAAGCCACCAGTGGAAGCCCCAGCTCCATACATACTGTGATTATATTAATGGGTTTACAGAATGGAGGTGGTTATGTCAAGATGGAAATACTCATTTAAAAATGATAATGAAGCTTTTTAAAAAATATAGTTGAAGTTTGAAATTTTAAGAAATTGTTAACATGTATAAGGATGTATTTTAGTGATTCAGGAAATTCTCATAGAACGTGGTTTTTACAGTATTTTGACTAATTTTTTCAGTAATCTTTTTCTTTATGTAGACCAGAGTCCTCTCTCTTCAAATGTTGCTCCCTTGCCCAGTGTCTGCTCTTTGGAACAGTCCAGACTGAGGCTTGCCCAGTGGTGAGCTGGTGAATGTTTAACTGCCAGCTCTCTGGGAGAGGCGGTGCTCTGACCAGTGGCGTTAGCCGCTTCTGTCGTGTCAGTACTTCCAGCATGGCAGGTTTTAACTGCTTATGTGATGTCAGTGGACTTGGGGTATGGACGAGCTGGGCACGCTAAGCTCTCACAAAGCTGAGTGCAAGCTGGGGTCTGCATCCCATTGGCTGTCCCATCATTGTTGCTTCTTTCACAACTAAGATTGTGAATCATGAATACCTTTATATACAGTGTTATTCTTTTGTTGTATTTATGACTAGATTATCACAAGTACAAAATATTTGTGAGTATATATCATTATCGTTATATTCTAAACTAGAATACTGATTTAATATATGACTGTCGGTTTTTCTCTTTTTCAGTTGGGTGGAAAGCTTTGGACATGAGGGGCTTGGATTATTACTCGACATCTTGGAAAAGCTGATTAGTGGCAAAATGTAAGTATTGCTAATCATTTTTTCTAGTCAAGCTACATTTGAATGTCCAATGATGATTCCAACACTGATATCTTTCATGCAGACAAGAAACAATTGTGAAGAAGAATCAGCACAAAGTCATACAGTGTCTGAAGGCCTTGATGAATACCCAGGTATGCACATAGGTAGCTGTATTGTTCTTTATTAGTTCTTACAGAAATTCTTATGAAGTAGAGTTATGTAATGCAGAATTTGCACCGAAGTGATGTATTGCTTTGATACGCTGTTCAGTATATAAGGGGAAGATATTGAATTGTGTTGTTTCTGGTTTTGTATGAAATATGTGCCTGGAGATACTTGGGGGTGAATAGACCCTCTTCTGCTGTTTCATCCTTCGTACACAGATTAATTTTCTTTTCCTTCTGTCCTTCCTTCCTACCTCAGTACCTTGCTATCTGTCTGCGTTTTGTTTCCCCTTTCTTCTTCCCTTCCTTCTTTTTTAATTTTCAAAAGTATAGCATGAATCAGCTTAGAAATCATACATGATTATTAAATATGATCTTCAGTAATACTATTACCAAAGAATTAAGTTGGAAAAACTTAGTTTTTATAGTCTAGGAATTTAAATCTCTAATGAAATTAATGTGAACAGATGTCAATAGATCTCAGAGGTGGAGCAATGATGCTTAATGCAAGTGCAGCTAATGCTTGAACAATGCATGTTTGAACTTCACTGATCCACTTACATGAGGATTTTTAAAAATAAATACATATTTGTACTGTAAAAGAATTTTCTCTTGCTTATGGTTTTTTTCAATAGCATTTTCTTTTCTCTACTTTATTTAAAAAATATATAATGTATTTAACATACAAAATATGTTAATCAACTGTTTATGTTATTGGTAAGGAATCAAGAGTAGGCTAAGTAAGTAAGTTTTTGGGGAATCAGATATTATCCTCAGATTTTTCACTGCCTGAGGAGTTGGTGCCCCTAGTCCCTGTGATGTGCCAGTGTCCGCTGTAATATTGAAACCCAATATTATATGGCGGATCTGCAGTTTGAATATTTAAGGAGCATACGTTAGAAGAGAGAAATGGTTTTGCCCTGTACTGAAGTTTGGTTTCTCTTACAGTGTTTCCTTTCTTTCATACTGTTAGTTGCAGAAGTTAGCTCTGTTCCAGGATGTATCTCCAGCTCTAACATATAAATGCATCTACCTCCTGATCGTATGCAATGATCAATGATAGGTGTTTTCCCATTAGACAGTGGGAGAGGGAATTTTACCTATGGTAGATGATGATGTGTGTTTTATAGCAAAACTGTATACTTCTGATAATTTTTAAAAATTCGGTTTAAAAATAAATCCTTAGAGAACTTCATACTTAAGTATGTACTAAATTGTTAACATTTACTTTTCTATTGATTAAATGCAGCAAATAGTTACATTTTCTAATTATTTTTCTTACTGGACTATTTATGAATTTTTCATCATTTTCTGAAGTCTAAATTTCTGTTTTTAGCCAATGAAATATTTTTAACCTCCCTGCTTTCTTCAGTCAGATATAATTTCAGGGAAAATTTCTGTTATAGAAATCACAACCCCTTTCTATATTGAACTGATTGCTCTGTGAGAGTTTTGTTTTAGATAGATTATGTAACTTTTGTAGAGTATGTGTTAAGAGTGAATGAATAAGGGAATCAGACTATTAATAAGGAGTTTCCAGCCTGAGCCTGTAATACTTGCTGTGGCGGTGGTGGGGCTGGGGGTGGGGGTGGGGGTGGGACCTCCTAAAGTAGGAATGTGAATTGGAAATTTCAGTGGTGAAGGCTGAGTAGAAAAAACTCAGGGATGTTTTTTAAAAACCAAAGGGGTATTTGAATCATAATTTGAATTTGAGAAGAATGTCGTGGTTAAAGTGAGGGGTTATATAGGAGATAATATTCTTACTTGGTTTGAGATCAAATTGTAAAGAGAGTAAACTTTATGTGTTTATATTCAAATTAATATAATGTGATTTAATTGTTATAGTAGTGGATCATTTTGTTTCTAGTTTATGTATATATAGTTTATGTATATACATTAAATATATTATCATTTGCATTTATTGCTACCACTTATGCTGATAGAGTTACTAAAACACTTTAATGATACTTGGAATTAGTATTATAATGTCTGAATTATAAAGTTAATTGTATGTGGGATTTTTTGGTTAAATTTTTTTTTTCCCATACCTACTCTGAAGTCTGTATAAAAGTTAATTGAATGATGAAAAATACAGTCTTTAAGAGAAAAGTATGATACCTTATTTGGTGCTAGTAATTAATTATATAATTGATATTATGAGCAAATCTAATAGCATTGCATGCAGTTAAATACTAAATTGAAGTTTATAGTAGCTTTTAACTAGAAGAAAATTTTGATTATCTATGAGAAAATAAAAGCCAAGATAGCTTTTGGTGTGTTTCTTAAGGCACTCGGCTAGCTTGCCTTGTTCCTGAAGCCAGTCTCTTCCTCTTTGCTGCTGGGATTAACTCATTGTAGATAGTTAGTTATTCAGCACCAGTGTTCATGTGTTAGGCATTCTACATAGGATTTAGGGGATTCACCTTCCCCCATCGAACACAACTTCAGTGGCCCGAAATTCCATTAAGTAATAATAGGCCTCAAGTAGAATTCAAATGGAACTTGGCACTGGTTCTTAGTTTAGAACGCATGTGTTTTCCTATAATCTGGAGTGGATCTTTGACATTCAGTGGAGAGACATTCTCAGACCTTCCACAATTTGCCATCATCTCTCTAACCTTATAGTAGCCTTTATTTAATGCACTTTAAATGCCAATGCTGGTAAGTTGACTGTTTCTCTCACAGTCCGTGGGTTTTGTTTTATGTTTACTTTTTTTTTTAATAATTGAATGAGAATAATTTTATAGTAGTCAGCAGTTCAGTCTTTAGCTCTAGATACTCAGTTGTGGTAATCTGGCCTCATTCCAGTCTCAAAACAAGCACCGTCCAATATTCTATTAGCAAAGTCAAGAGAAAATTGCCTGTGAAGAAGCTTTGAGTTCACAGGATGGTGGTCGGAACTGGGAAATCAGGGAATGCTCCCATTCTGATGTGGGAAGGGCAGGTGCTGGCCCCGGCCAGCCCAGTGTGTGGGAAGGGCAGGGAAGTGCTGGAGGCAGCTTCTGTCAGCTGCAGGTTATTAGGACAGAGCCAGCTTTTGGTACTTGGTGATCAGTGGCTGATTGTGAATTGGGTCTCAGTGATAATTTACAAACCTCTGACAATTCCCTGGAATGATTGTCAAGGCATTTTGTAGTCTCTGGCCCCATGCCTGCTTTTCTCTGTTTCCAGGTATGAAACCGCCTAGGATATCACAAAAGTGAGCATTTCTTGACTGGTTCAGCTGCTTCTTTGTAAACATTTCCCTGTGGCCAACAGGATAGAGAAGTCACTTCAGAAATCATACCCTGGGGCCCTTGGCCCTTCTGTTTGTACTTCCTTCTTTGTACCTGTGTTCCTTAGTAGTTTGAAGTGAGTGCAATATTTCACCACAGTGTGAAGCTTCTTTAAATAAATGCCATATACAAGATAGGAAACATAAATAAGATTTCATAGTACTCAAAATATTTAAATCTAAACTTGTTATAGATTTAACTTTGATACTGATTTCTAATGCTAATTTTGAGTTTAATTGGAATTAAGGTCCTTTTTAGAGCTTGGTATTAATAGTAGTTCTATTCAACTAATTTCTCACTCTTTAAAAGGATCCTCTGGGATGTATGGTGAATAAATAGTACTGTTTTATTGCTTTCATTCATCCTCTGTTATTAGATACTTATCTCCCATAGATTGTAAGTGGGCCCTAAGAGAGGTATACATCTTTAAATCAAAATACTGAGTCGTTAACATAACTCCTTATCTTCCAGTAGGATGTGACATCCCAGCAGTAGCAAACAAACCTTGTTTACATTCAAAATCATCCCATTTATATTAATATCATGTGTTGTCTTTTTGATGACAAAATACCATTTTGATCAGAATACATATATTCCTGTAGTAGTTTCTACATGGTATTAGCCCAAATCACCCTTCAGCTTCTGCCCATTTATGAACCAAGTGTTACTGTCTAGGCCTGCGTTGTGGAATGCGGTTACCATGCATGACTCCTGAGCCCTTGAGATGTGGCCACTCTGAACTGAGATGTGCTCTGAGTGTGGAATACACATTGCATTTTGAATACTTAGGAAGAAAAGAAAAAGTGAGAATATCTCATCAGTAAATGTTTTGTAGTGATCACATGTTGAAATGATAACCTTTTGGATGTATTGAAATGCATCTGTTAAAACGAGTTTTACTTTTTCTTGGCATTTTACATAGTGCCTGAGGTTCACATTGTATTTCTCTGGGACAGTGCTCTGTGGTCCTGTACCTCCTGCCAGCCTTCCTTCCCGCAGGAGAGTTCCTCCTGTGCATTTTGTGCGTGCCTGTTGGGGAATCTCAGTATTCCTCACTGCTTCTCCCTTTCTCCAGTTGGCCACCTGCCTATCTAATAATTGTCAGTTATATTGCTGAAAATTTCCTGTGAGCGGTCATCTGTATTTGATTGATTTTCTTAGTTTTTAATGTAAAGGGAATAGTTGTATGAATTTTTTTAGAATATTATACATTCTTTATGTTTTCTCACTTTACTACATGTGCAAGTATATTTTCTTATAAACATTTTTTTAATAACTGCATTTTCTTCAGGGCAGTATCTTTTTTAACTAACCACTAAAATTTAACCCCTTTTTCCCAAAATGTTGTAGTATGGCTTGGAAAGAATTATGAGTGAAGAGAGGAGTCTTTCTTTGCTAGCCAGAGCCATTGATCCTGAGCAGCCTGGCATGATGATGGATGTGGTTAAGCTCCTTTCTGCAGTGTGCATCGTAGGGGAGGAAAGCATGTAAGTCTCCTCAACTTGTTTCTCTCATTACGCAGTAATTTAATACAGTTTTATTCAATGATGTTTTCATTATTTTAGTCTAGAATTTATTTTAAATAAATGAAGTATACTTAAGCAGCTTATTTAGATTCATATTGGCTGAACAGAAATGAAAATTTTTTTTCTCTTAATTGATACAGTAGTTATGGACTGACATGTTTCTATGAAAAATGGAATTCTTTATTATTTTTAAACTGTTTTGAACTCAGACCTTCAATAAACAGTCTAAATGAAGACTTTGAAAAATATACAAGTTGGTTCTGTTTCTTAAGATTTTTTTCATATAGAAGTATAAGTGAATAATTGATAATGTAATGGTTGAGGGTACAATGTTTTGACCATAAAGTGTATTGTAAAGTTTGAACTTTAAAGACATTATCTACAATTTCTAAAGCTGTAACTAAAAAGCCATTACATGTATTGGAAGATAAAGATAAACCTTTTGTCTTTTTAAGAATGGTTAGTATTCTTATTACAAGAGAGCATTTAAAAATTACTTGACGTGCCTTTTATATGTGGTAAAGATATTCAAACAACCAACAGAGAAAACAGAAACGGCCTTAAAGTGTAGGCAGAGCCCTGTCACTGAAATGCCCAGCACACATTGGAAACTTGTCCACGCAGGTCCTGTGGGTCTGCTGACTGTCGCCCCACTCAGCTGACTTTGCTGGAGAGGCAGCAGGCACGGCTCGGCCGGCGCCCCTCCCTGGATGAGGCCGTGTCTGCTGCAGTCCCAGCTGCAAAGCCATGCGTGCAGCTTTAGCACTTTCCCGTTTTAAGAAGGCCACCCAAGTATGAATTTAATGTCAAAACATGGCGTGCCTCCTCTGTTCCCTCCCTCGCCTCTCTCTTCCTCCGCCCTCTTGTCTCCATGCGTTCTTCCTCTTCCTCCCTTCTCCCCTGCATCCTGTGTCTTCTCTTTTCTCTTCTTCCTTCCCGGTCCCTTCCTCCTTCCCTTCTTGTCCTTCTCTTTCCTTATCCTCTTTCTCCTATTCCTCCTTCCTCTTCTAGTCTTTCTCCTTCACTTCCATATCACTTTTATTATTTCTTGACTTCAGATAGATTATTTAAATGATGTAAAGAACTGTTAGGACTAAAGTGTCTATGTCCACAAACTGAGATTTTACAGTATACCGGGTACTGTTAGCATAAGTATTCTTTAAAGAAATAGTAAGTATATTTCTTACATAACCATCATTCTTTATATTTGACTATAATTACTTACTATTGTGTGTTTTTGGCCACCAGAACTTCATTTACTTACGTTCAAGGCAGAGTAGGGTTGTAGTGGTTAAAAGTAGTCTGGATCCAGATCCTTGCTCTAGCACTCTATCATTTAGTAGATGTGAGACCTTAGACAAATTGCTTAACCCTTTTCTGCTTCAGTTTCCTAACTTACAGTATAGAATAACAATAATACCTACTTTGTAGAATGACGTACATTAAAACTAGCTAATACTAATATTTATAACACAGTTTACATAGTACCTGATGGGTAGTAAGCACTATATAAATGTTTGATAAATAAATATGATCATAGGGTTATTATGAAGAATAAATTAATACGTAACATGGTTTGTGCTTGATATGTGCTATGTAATCAGTAAGCCACTTTTAAAATGTTATTGCTTGCCTAGAAGTAGTGACTCTGGAGTGTAGTAGGTTAAGCTACTAATTTTGAGTTACCTGGGTTATTTGCTATTTGCAATTTAATTTGTAATTTCCAATAGCCTTGAAGAAGTCTTAGAAGCTTTAACATCAGCTGGAGAAGAAAGAAGAATTGACAGATTTTCTTCTATTGTGGAAGGTCTTGGGCACAATTCAGTTCAATTGCAAGTAGGTTTCATGTTTATCATTCATACGTTTTGTAAATGTTTTCTCACTGACTTTTATTTAATAATAACATGTGAAACTATATGCCATTTAATATTTTATGCCATTTTTAATAAGTATAGGTTTCTAACTATACTGTATCATAGTTGGTCTTACAGATACAACTTTGTATACGCCTGTAATTATTTCCTTAGGTTCCTAGAAAGTTGACTTACTAGGTTTCTCCGTGAAATATTTAATTATAATCCATGAATTGTTGTCTCAGTAGTTGATTATTATAATTTTGTAAAAAGTTTCAACAATTAAGTGAATTGTGGCTTTTCATTGTGTTAGTTTTATATCTGAAAAGTTGAGAGTTTTCATGAGTAAAGAGACCGAGGTAGGTACACTTAGAGATTTTCAAATATTTTATTTTAAGTGCTCCCAAAACATCATGTTAGATTGAAACATTATAGTACCCAAGTTACCTATCTAATATTCATTTAATTTTCTCTTTCTTGACACAATAATTTTATTGCTATAATTTTTGTTATAGCCATTGCTAATCAAACCTGAGTATCTTTAAGGAATTATTGTAGCCTAATTTCTATCTTCAAATTTTTAAAAATTTAGTTGGTGTGGTTGGGACCTGGCTATAGAGAATTTTTAAAGATCCTCAGATGATTCTAATGTATGATAAAATTTGGAAATTGAGCTTGCTAATAGATATGAAGTAAATCTGTTTTACACTTAATAGACAGTATAGTTTTAAATTTTATTTTAAAACTGCGTACCATAGCCATTTAATTGTTCTCAATTTGAAGAGCCAGATCTTAGCGTGTAATTAATGAAAAGAGTGTGATATTTGGTGACAACTCAGAAAACGTTCAGTTAGTTCAACCTCACAGCTGTGTCCCACTCTCGCCAGCACGCCAGGTCTCCCTGTCCATCACCAACTCACTGAGCCTGCTCAAAGTCATGTCCGTCAAGTCGGTGATGCCACCGAACCATCTCATCATCCTCTGTCGCCTCCTTGTCCTCCCACCTTCAGTCTTTCCCAGTATCAGGATCTTTTCTAAGGAGTCAGCTCATCGCATCAGGTGGCCAAAGTAATGGAGCTTCAGCTTCAACATCAGTCCTTCCAATCAACACCCAGGACTGATCTCCTTTAGGATGGACTGGTTGGATCTCCTTGCAGTCCAAGGGACTCTCAAGAGTCTTCTCCAACACCACAGTTCAAAAGCATCAATTCTTTGGCTCTCAGCTTTCTTTAAGGTCCATCTCTCACAGCTGTACATGACTACTGGAAAAACCTTAGCTTTGACTTGATAGACCTTTGTTGGCAAAGTAATATCTCTGCTTTTTAATACACTGTCTAGATTGGTCATAGTTTTTCTTACAAGGAGTAAGTGTTTTTTGATTTCATGGCTGCAGTCACCATCTGCAGTGACTTTGGAACCCAGGAAAGTAAAGTCTGTCAGTGTTTCCATTGGTTCCCCATCTATTTGCAGTGAAGTGATGCAATCAGATGCCATGATCTTCCTTTTTTGAAAGTTGAGTTTTAAGCCAGCTTTTTCACTCTCCTTCACTTTCATGAACAGGCTCTTTAGTTCCTCTTCACTTTCTGCCATAAATGTGGTGTCATCTGTGTATCTGAGGTTATTGCTGTTTCTCCTGGCAATCTTGATTTCCAGCTTGTGCTTTATCTAGCCCTGCATTTCACATGATGTGCTCTGTATAGAAGTTAAATAAGCAGGGTAACAATATATAGCCTTTATGTACTCCTTTCCCAATTTGAAACCAGTCTGTTGTTCCATGTCCTGTTCTAACTGTTGCTTCTTGACCTGCATACAGATTTCTTAGGAGGCAGGTAAGATGGTCTGCTCTTTCCATCTCTAAAGAATTTTCCACGTTTTTTTGTGATCCACACAGTCAAAGGTTTGGTGTAGTTAATAAAGCAGAATTAGATGTTTTTCTGTAACTCTGTTGCTTTTTCAATGATCTAACGGATGTTTTTCAATTTGGTCTCTGGTTTCTCTGCCTTTCCTAAATCCAGCTTGGACATCTGGAAGTTCTCGGTTCACATATTACTGAAGCCTGGCTTGGAGAATTTTAAGCATTACTTTACTAGCGTGTGAGATGAGTGCAATTGTGCAGTAGTTTGAGCATTCTTTGGCATTGACTTTCTTTGGGATTGGAATGAAAACTGACATTTTTCAGTCCTGTGGCCACTGCTGAGTTTTCCAAATCTGCCGGCATATTGAGTGCAGCACTTTCAGAGCATCAACTTTTAGGATTTGAACTAACTCGACTGGAATTCCATCACCTCCACGAGCTTTGTTCATAGTGATGCTTCCTGAGGTCCCCTGACTTCACATTCCAGGGTGTCTGGCTCTAGGTGAGTGATCACACCATCATGATTATCTGGGTCATTAAGGTCTTTTTTTGTACAGTTCTTCTGTGTATTCTTGCCACCTCTTCTTAATATCTTCTGCTTCTGTTAGGTCCATACTATTTCTGTCCTTTATCGAACCCATCTTTGCATGAAACGGTCCCTTGGTATCTCTAATTTTCTTGAAGAGATCTCTAGTCTTTCCCATTCTATTGCTTTCCTCTATTTCTTTCCACTGATCACTGAGGAAGGCTTTCTTATCTCTCCTTGTATTCTTTGGAACTCTGCATTCAAATGGGTATATCTTTCCTTTCTCCTTTGCCTTTCTCTTCTTTTCTCAGCTATTTGTAAGGCCTCCTCAGACAGCCGTTTTTCCTCTTTGCGTTTCTTTTCCACAGGGATGGTCTCGATCCCTGCCCCCATACACGGTCACGAACCTCTGTCCAGAGATCTTCAGGCGCTCTGTCTATCAGAGCTGACCCCTTCAATCTATTTGTCACTTCCACCGTGTAATTGTAAGGGCTTTGATTTAGGTCGTTGCTGAATGGTCTTGTGCTTTTCCCTACTTTCTTCAATTTAAGTGTGAATTTGGCAATAAGAAGTTCATGATCTGAGCCACAGGCAGCTCCTGGTCTTGTTTTTGCTGACTGTATAGAGCTTCTTCATCTTTGGCTGCAAAGAATATAATCAGTCTGACTTAGGTATTGACCATCTGGTGATATCCATGTGTAGAGTCTTCTCTTGTGTTGTTGGAAGGTGTTTGCTATGACCAGTGTGTTCTCTTGAGAAAGCTCTGTTACCTTTTGTCCTGCTTCATTTTGTATTCCAAGGCCAGAAAATGTTGGGTATTGTCTAGTTAATGATTTTTTATCACCTTTCTGAGGGTGGTGTGTGTGAATCTCCTTCTGATGGCAGCCTTTGCTATTGGGAGGGATGAGGCCTATGAGCTTGTTGTCTGGGGGCAGCGGGCAGCCCTGGGGTCTGAGTGCTGTGTGCTGGGTGTCTGGGGGCAGCGGGCAGCCTTGGGGTCTGAGTGCTGTGAGCCTGGTGTCTGAGTGCTGTGTGCTGGGTGTCTGGGGCAGCAGGCAGCCTTGGAGTCTGAGTGCTGTGTGCTGGGTGTCTGGGGGCAGCGGGGAGCCCTGGTGTCTGAGTGCTGTGAGCCTGGTGTCTGGGGCAGCGGGCAGCCCTGGTGTCTGAGTGCTGTGTGCTGGGTGTCTGGGGCAGCAGGCAGCCTTGGGGTCTGAGTGCTGTGAGCCTGGTGTCTGGGGGCATCTGGCAGCCCTGGGGTCTGAGTGCTGTGTGCTGGGTGTCTGGGGCATCTGGCAGCCCTGGGGTCTGAGTGCTGTGTGCTGGGTGTCTGGGGGCAGCGGGCAGCCTTGGGGTCTGAGTGCTGTGAGCCTGGTGTCTGAGTGCTGTGTGCTGGGTGTCTGGGGCAGCAGGCAGCCTTGGGGTCTGAGTGCTGTGTGCTGGGTGTCTGGGGGCAGCGGGGAGCCCTGGTGTCTGAGTGCTGTGAGCCTGGTGTCTGGGGCAGCGGGCAGCCCTGGTGTCTGAGTGCTGTGTGCTGGGTGTCTGGGGCAGCAGGCAGCCTTGGGGTCTGAGTGCTGTGAGCCTGGTGTCTGGGGGCATCTGGCAGCCCTGGGGTCTGAGTGCTGTGTGCTGGGTGTCTGGGGCATCTGGCAGCCCTGGGGTCTGAGTGCTGTGAGCCTGGTATCTGGGGGCAGCGGGCAGCCTTGGGGTCTGAGTGCTGTGAGCCTGGTGTCTGGGGGCAGTGGGCAGCCCTGGGGTCTGAGTGCTGTGTGCTGGGTATCTGGGGCATCTGGCAGCCCTGGGGTCTGAGTGCTGTGAGCCTGGTATCTGGGGGCAGCGGGCAGCCTTGGGGTCTGAGTGCTGTGAGCCTGGTGTCTGGGGGCAGCGGGCAGCCCTGGGGTCTGAGTGCTGTGTGCTGGGTGTCTGGGGGCAGCGGGCAGCCTTGGGGTCTGAGTGCTGTGAGCCTGGTGTCTGAGTGCTGTGTGCTGGGTGTCTGGGGCAGTGGGCAGCCTTGGGGTCTGGGTCCTGTGTGGTCACTCTTGCATGAGTCCAGTCCCTGGGGCTTCTGGAAATGAGCCCATCCTTCCTCATGTGGGAGTGGGGGCTGGGCTGTGTGTCTGCTCCAGACTTCAGACCTGCTCCTTCAGTTGCTTGTGGGCTGGGGCCTGTTCGTTCATACTCCTTTACCCTTTCTTCCTCTTCCCTCCTTTCTCATCGGCTCTGGATTTCTTTTCCCCACAGTACTAATGAAGAGTGATCCTGAAAGAACCTGTGTAAAGAAAAGCTGAACAATCACTTTATCTGAGTTATCCTCTAGTACTCTTGTACCTTAACTTGTGTAGTATTTGTGCAAATACCGCTAGGTTATTAGATTAATTTTGGTGATTTCTGCAGCATATTAGAAATTATCTCTAATTTAAAAAAATCTCAGTATAAAATGTCATAGTTACATGTAAAGTTTAAGTAAACAGCTTTTTGTTCTAATACACGCTTTTCATATTTAATGACACACATGTTACAAGAATGATGAAATGAATAGAATTTTGAATCAGCCAGACTTGAATCTGAATCCAGCTTTTCACATCGTAGCTTTAAGACATTTTAG